TCAAACGCCAAGAATCCCATGTCGAGCAACGCCCATATGGCTGTGGGTCAAAAATGGGTACCCAAAATGGAACCCAGGCAGAAGGAAACATGGACTAAAGCCTGCGGTCCCCTGGTGGTTTAATTTTGACCCACAGCCATATTTCTCCGGCTACGTTGGCGAACCAGACGAAGTCGTAGGCTTCAAAGTGGGTCAAGGCCGGAGCCCTGTGTGCTTACAGGACAAGTCCTTGATAGAACCTTACTAAGCGCGTTGGGGTCGGATATGGAGTTGGGGAATGGGAGATCCGAAATGGTTGTATATTGGAACACCTCCGTGGTCGGACATACTCCATGTCAATGACGTCCAATGCATCCCAAAGAAAGCACAGCCACGTGACCACCAAATGTGGTTTTCCCTTTGGTTTCCCTTCATAAGGAACCACTTCAACAGTGATTGGTGGACAGAAATCCCATTTTAAGTTATGTCCACCCTGAGTATTGCAAGTAAACCAACCACAAACCATGGAAAGTTACAGCTTTCCCTTCTTCTCTACTGGCAATATGTAGGGCATCCACCGAATCTTCACAAAATCGGATTCATCTCAGGCCTACACGGATGACATCCCTCCGCTGCAGGAGGGCACCCACGTGGTGCGCATCAAGTATGACGTCAGGACACAGGGTGGCGATGGCGTTATGTTTCTCACCCAAATCGTGGTTTAGGGGGGGCTTCATATATTAATAGAAATACATATATATATATATATATATTATGTATACACATACAATCATATACATATTTGTGGGTTATCCCCTAGGCATCTTGGGACCACTGCGCCTTTCTTGAGGTCCAACATCCTTCCAATGCCAGTCCTGACCGCTCCGATTCGAATGCTTCGGGTCACCAAAATGGGGAGAACTTGGAGAATCTGGAGCTTAGAACATTTGTTTCACGCACTGACCGACCTGCTGTTCAGCGGGACTCGTCTCCCTCTTTTTGTTTGTTTGTTGTGTTCCCAATCAACAACATTGCCAGGCCGAAAGAGTTCCTTGTTCTGGCAGGGTGTTTTGGCCACAAGAGGGGTAGCCCGTCATAAACGCCTTCCATAAATGCATTTTCCCAGAGTGTGGCATGATTTTGTCACGAGGCTATGACGATCCTCAGGAAGTCCTGGCATTCGAAGCCTCTACACCCCATCCTTCAGCTCACTTGAGGCCATGGTTTTGACGCTCATTCTTGGGGTTGTCAAAGGAAACAGCGGTTGGTTGTTTTTTAAACGCTTGGGGCGACTTTTGTGAAACAAATCTGGGGACCCTTCCAACCTATCTTGCTGGCCGATTTGGCACGTAGGGTGGCCTCCGGTGGCGCGCTTCGGGCTGCCTACTTTGATATTGAGAGGCATACTGCGGGCGGACAAAATCCATTTCGCACCTCTTGGAAACCATGGGAGCCCCATTGTTTGTGGGTAGTTTCAAGGGAATCATCATGCCAGGGATTTTTAGGTGGTGCAGGATTTAGTCCACCCACAGTAGTCTCACCTCGTATTGTTTGTTTGAAAGCAATGCCCTTCCAAACCCATACCAATTTCGAGTCTCGCAATGCAAGAATCGATGGCAGCTTGTTTTGGCGGGTTTCAAGGGAACCCGCAAAAAAACGCCACCATCCCCCTGTTTGACACATACCCTTCTAGGAGCAATTGATAGTTTTGGGATGGTCTCGGGGCAAGGGTAGGCCCATTTTGAGGGTCCTTACTGCCATTTGGGAACACCTCCTGTGCCAAATTGTGGAAACCCAGGGTTGGTTTCCTCCCAAGAACGCCGGACACCCTTAGGAGTCGACCCTCCTGAAATGGTCTACACAATTGGTGTTTCTCAAAATGCTCGACAAAATTTGTGTTTCTCAAAGTGATCTACCAAACTTGTGTTGCTCAATAATATTGGAATGGTCTACAAAACTTGTGTTTCTCAATTTCGCAAAATGGTCTACCAAGCTTGTCTTTCTCAAAATGGTCTACCAAACCTGTGTTTGTTAAAATGGTCGACCAAGCTAGTGTATTTCTCAAAATGGTCTACAAAACTTGTGTTTCTCAAGTTTTGAAAACGGTCTACCAAAATTGTGTTTCTCAAAATGGTCCGCCAAACATGTGTTTCTCAAACTGGTCGACACAATCTGTGTTTCTCTAAATGGTCTACCAAACTTGTGTTTCTCAACTTTTCAACATGGTCTACAAGACTTGTGTTTCTCAAACTGGGCTACCAAACTGTTGTTGCTTTTGACAAATGGTCTACACAAGTTGTGTTTCTCAAACTGGTCTACCAAACTTGTGTTTCTTAGACTGGTCTACAAAACTTGTGTTTTTCGACGGTCTACCAAACTTGTGTTTGTCAAAATGATCCACCAAACTTGTGTTTCTCAAATGGTCTACACAGCATGTGTTTCTCAAAATGGTCTACCAAACTTGTTTTTTCTTCAAACTGGTCTACAACACTTGTGTTTTTCAACATGGTCTACCAAGCTTTTGTTTCTTAAAATGGTCTACAAGACTTAGTGTTTCTCAAAAATGGTTTACACAACATGTGCTTCTCAAAATGGTCTACCAAGCTTTTGTTTCTCAAAATGGTCTACAAAACTTGTGTCTCTCAGTTTCTCAAAATGGTGTACCAAGCTTGTGTTTCTGAAAATGGTCTACACAACATGTGTTTCTCACAATGGTCTACACAGCATGTGTTTATCAAAACGGTCTACCATTTTTTCAATATGGTCTACAACACTTGTGTCTTTCAACATGGTCTACCGAACTTGTGTTTCTCAAAATGATCTACTAAACGTGTGTTTCTCACAATGGTTTACAAAACATGTGTTTCTCAAAATGGTCTACCAAGCTTTTGTTTCTCAAAATGGTCTACAAAACTTGCGTTTCTCCAAATGGTGTACAAAATGTGTATTTCTCAAAATGGTCTACCAAACTTGTGTTTCTTAAAGTGGTCTACAAAACATGTGTTTCTCAAAATGGTCTACCAAGCTTGTGTTTCTCAGGTTTGAAAACGATCTACCAAAATGGTGTTTCTCAAAATGGTCCGCCAAACATGTGCTTCTCAAAATGGTCGACGCAGTCTGTGTTTCTCTAAATGGTCTACCAAACTTGTGTTTCTCAACTTTTCAAAATGGTCTACAAGACTTGTGTTTCTCAAACTGGGCTACCAAACTGTTGTTGCTTTTGACAAATGGTCTACACAAGTTTCGTTTCTCAAACTGGTCTACCAAACTTGTGTTTCTTAGACTGGTCTACAAAACTTGTGTTCTTCAACGGTCTACCAAACTTGTGTTTCTCAAAATGGTCCACCAAACTTGTGTTTCTCAAATGGTCTACACAACATGTGTTTCTCAAAATGGTCTACCAAACTTGTTTTTTCTTCAATAGGGTCTACAACACTTGTTTTTTTCAACATGGTCTACCAAGCTTTTGTTTCTTAAAATGGTCTACAAGACTTAGTGTTTCTCAAAAATGGTTTGCGCAACATGTGTTTCTCAAAATGGTCTACAAAACTTGTGTTTCTCCAAATGGTCTACAAAATGTGTATTTCTCAAAATGGTCTACAAAACTTTTGTTTCTCAATTTCTCAAAATGGTGTACCAAGCTTGTGTTTCTGAAAATGGTTTACACAACATGTGTTTCTCACAATGGTCTACACAGCATGTGTTTATCAAAATGGTCTACCATTTTTTCAATATGGTCTACAACACTTGTGTCTTTCAACATGGTCTACCGAACTTGTGTTTCTCAAAATGATCTACTAAACGTGTGTTTCTCACAATGGTTTACAAAACATGTGTTTCTCAAAATGGTCTACCAAACTTGTGTTTCTTTAAATGGTCGATCAAGCTAGTGTTTTTCAAAACGGTCTACACAACGCGTGTTTCTCAAAATGGTCTACCAAACTTGTGTTTCTTAAAATGGTCTACAAAACATGTGTTTCTCAAAATGGTCTACCAAGCTTGTGTTTCTTTTCAATATGGTCTACCACACTTGTGTTTTTCAACATGGTCTACCAAACTTGTGTTTCTCAAAATGGTCTACAAAACTTGTGTTTCTGAATTTCTCAAGATGGTCGACCAAACTAGTGTTTCTTAAATTGGTCTACAAAATGTGTATTTCTCAAAATGGTCTACAAAACTTGTGTTTCTCAGGTTTGAAAACGATCTACCAAAATTGTGTTTCTCAAAATGGCCAACGCAATCTGTGTTTCTCTAAATGGTCTACCAAACTTGTGTTTCTCAACTTTTCAAAATGGTCTACAAGACTTGTGTTTCTCAAACTGGGCTACCAAACTGTTGTTGCTTTTGACAAATGGTCTACACAAGTTTCGTTTCTCAAACTGGTCTACCAAACTCGTGTTTCTTAGACTGACGGTCTACCAAACTTATGTTTCTCAAAATGGTCCACCAAACTTGTTTCTCAAATGGTCTACACAACATGTGTTTCTCAAAATGGTCTACCAAACTTGTTTTTTCTTGAAACTGGTCTACAACACTTGTGTTTTTCAACATGGTCTACCAAGCTTTTGTTTCTTAAAAAGGTCTACAAGACTTAGTGTTTCTCAAAAATGGCTTGCACAACATGTGTTTCTCAAAATGGTCTACCAAACTTGTTTTTCTTCAATAGGGTCTACAACACTTGTTTTTTTCAACATGGTCTACCAAGCTTTTGTTTCTTAAAATGGTCTACAAGACTTAGTGTTTCTCAAAAATGGTTTGCACAACATGTGTTTCTCAAAATGGTCTACAAAACTTGTTTCTCCAAATGGTCTACAAAATGTGGATTTTGTCAAAATGGTCTACAAAACTTTTGTTTCTCAATTTCTCAAAATGGTGTACCAAGCTTGTGTTTCTGAAAATGGTCTACACAACATGTGTTTCTCACAATGGTCTACACAGCATGTGTTTATCAAAATGGTCTACCATTTTTTCAATATGGTCTACAACACTTGTCTTTCAACATGGTCTACCGAACTTGTGTTTCTCAAAATGATCTACTAAACGTGTGTTTCTCACAATGGTTTACAAAACATGTGTTTCTCAAAATGGTCTACCAAACTTGTGTTTCTTTAAATGGTCGATCAAGCTAGTGTTTTTCAAAACGGTCTACACAACGCGTGTTTCTCAAAATGGTCTACCAAACTTGTGTTTCTTAAAATGGTCTACAAAACATGTGTTTCTCAAAATGGTCTACCAAGCTTGTGTTTCTTTTCAATATGGTCTACCACACTTGTGTTTTTCAACATGGTCTACCAAACTTGTGTTTCTCAAAATGGTCTACAAAACTTGTGTTTCTGAATTTCTCAAGATGGTCGACCAAACTAGTGTTTCTTAAATTGGTCTACAAAATGTGTATTTCTCAAAATGGTCTACAAAACTTGTGTTTCTCAGGTTTGAAAACGATCTACCAAAATTGTGTTTCTCAAAATGGTCCGCCAAACATGTGCTTCTCAAAATGGCCAACGCAATCTGTGTTTCTCTAAATGGTCTACCAAACTTGTGTTTCTCAACTTTTCAAAATGGTCTACAAGACTTGTGTTTCTCAAACTGGGCTACCAAACTGTTGTTGCTTTTGACAAATGGTCTACACAAGTTTCGTTTCTCAAACTGGTCTACCAAACTTGTGTTTCTTAGACTGACGGTCTACCAAACTTATGTTTCTCAAAATGGTCCACCAAACTTGTTTCTCAAATGGTCTACACAACATGTGTTTCTCAAAATGGTCTACCAAACTTGTTTTTTCTTGAAACTGGTCTACAACACTTGTGTTTTTCAACATGGTCTACCAAGCTTTTGTTTCTTAAAAAGGTCTACAAGACTTAGTGTTTCTCAAAAATGGCTTGCACAACATGTGTTTCTCAAAATGGTCTACCAAACTTGTTTTTTCTTCAATAGGGTCTACAACACTTGTTTTTTTTTCAACATGGTCTACCAAGCTTTTGTTTCTTAAAATGGTCTACAAGACTTAGTGTTTCTCAAAAATGGTTTGCACAACATGTGTTTCTCAAAATGGTCTACAAAACTTGTGTTTCTCCAAATGGTCTACAAAATGTGGATTTTGTCAAAATGGTCTACAAAACTTTTGTTTCTCAATTTCTCAAAATGGTGTACCAAGCTTGTGTTTCTGAAAATGGTCTACACAACATGTGTTTCTCACAATGGTCTACACAGCATGTGTTTATCAAAATGGTCTACCATTTTTTCAATATGGTCTACAACACTTGTCTTTCAACATGGTCTACCGAACTTGTGTTTCTCAAAATGATCTACTAAACGTGTGTTTCTCACAATGGTTTACAAAACATGTGTTTCTCAAAATGGTCTACCAAACTTGTGTTTCTTTAAATGGTCGATCAAGCTAGTGTTTTTCAAAACGGTCTACACAACGCGTGTTTCTCAAAATGGTCTACCAAACTTGTGTTTCTTAAAATGGTCTACAAAACATGTGTTTCTCAAAATGGTCTACCAAGCTTGTGTTTCTTTTCAATATGGTCTACCACACTTGTGTTTTTCAACATGGTCTACCAAACTTGTGTTTCTCAAAATGGTCTACAAAACTTGTGTTTCTGAATTTCTCAAGATGGTCGACCAAACTAGTGTTTCTTAAATTGGTCTACAAAATGTGTATTTCTCAAAATGGTCTACAAAACTTGTGTTTCTCAGGTTTGAAAACGATCTACCAAGATTGTGTTTCTCAAAATGGTCCGCCAAACATGTGCTTCTCAAAATGGCCAACGCAATCTGTGTTTCTCTAAATGGTCTACCAAACTTGTGTTTCTCAACTTTTCAAAATGGTCTACAAGACTTGTGTTTCTCAAACTGGGCTACCAAACTGTTGTTGCTTTTGACAAATGGTCTACACAAGTTTCGTTTCTCAAACTGGTCTACCAAACTTGTGTTTCTTAGACTGACGGTCTACCAAACTTATGTTTCTCAAAATGGTCCACCAAACTTGTTTCTCAAATGGTCTACACAACATGTGTTTCTCAAAATGGTCTACCAAACTTGTTTTTTCTTGAAACTGGTCTACAACACTTGTGTTTTTCAACATGGTCTACCAAGCTTTTGTTTCTTAAAAAGGTCTACAAGACTTAGTGTTTCTCAAAAATGGCTTGCACAACATGTGTTTCTCAAAATGGTCTACCAAGCTTGTTTTTTCTTCAATAGGGTCTACAACACTTGTTTTTTTCAACATGGTCTACCAAGCTTTTGTTTCTTAAAATGGTCTACAAGACTTAGTGTTTCTCAAAAATGGTTTGCACAACATGTGTTTCTCAAAATGGTCTACAAAACTTGCGTTTCTCCAAATGGTGTACAAAAGGTGTATTTCTCAAAATGGTCTACAAAACTTTTGTTTCTCAATTTCTCAAAATGGTGTACCAAGCTTGTGTTTCTGAAAATGGTCTACACAACATGTGTTTCTCACAATGGTCTACACAGCATGTGTTTATCAAAATGGTCTACCATTTTTTCAATATGGTCTACAACACTTGTGTTTTTCAACATGGTCTACCGAACTTGTGTTTCTCAAAATGATCTACTAAACGTGTGTTTCTCACAGTGGTTTACAAAACATGTGTTTCTCAAAATGGTCTACCAAACTTGTTTGTTCAACATGGTATACAACACTTGTGTTTTTCAACATGGTCTACCAAGCTTTTGTTTCTTAAAATCATCTACAAAACGTAGTGTTTCCCAAAATGGTCTACCAAACTTGTGTTTCTTTAAATGGTCGATCAAGCTAGTGTTTCTCAAAATGGTCTACACAGCATGTGTTTCTCAAAATGGTCTACCAAACTTGTGTTTCTTAAAGTGGTCTACAGAACATGTGTTTCTCCAAATGGTCTACCAAGCTTGTGTTTCTTTTTAATATGGTCTACCACACTTGTGTTTTTCAACATGGTCTACCAAGCTTGTGTTTCTCAGAATGGTCTACAAAACTTGGATATGTGCAAGGAAACCAAAAGGACACGCCGAATCCAGGGGCGCTGCTTCGTTTGAGAGCCGCGAGGATGAGGCGCTGGGACCAGCGGGGCTCGGACTTCGACTCAGACGCCACCGGGGCCTTCTTTCGGCTCCAAGAGAGCGGCCGCGCAGGACGCAGCTACGGTTTCCTTTCTCTTTCTCGCGGCACGGGCGCGGCAACGATTTTTTTGCAGAGTTTCACCTTTTTTTTTTGAAGTTGGTTTTTGTTTGCTTGTTTGAGAGGTCCGAACCAGGTTTTGCACCCCAGGTTTGGTCCTGACATCTCCACTACAGGTTTCAAATATGCTCGCGGTACGAACAACAGGCACTCCCGGAGGTTCTTGACTGTAGATTCGCTTGGTGCCATAGGGAATTTGTTGATCGCGACCGCCGCGCACAGAATTACTCCATATAGGTAATTCATGTTGCCCATTTGAGGGGAACATGTGGGTAAATCTTCCACGGAACGGTGTCAGGTCGGGGAGTGTCTCAAGATGGTGGACTGTCTTTCGGTTGCAGACAGATTCCTATTTTGAGAAGCAACCGTCTCAGGTCTTTGCTTCCAACATTTTCCAACATTTGGCCTATGAGGGTGCAGTCATAGGGCTGTGGGTCAAAACCAATGGTACCATTTTGGTAGGTGCACCACCCATTTTAGGCTATTTTAGTGGGGATTGGGATGTTCACTGACCCATAACAAATCATGGGGTCGTGACATCCGAGCCTCGGAACTAGGACTGCTCAGCGTGGAGTTGGATGGACGCCGCGTCATCGTGGTTCCTGTGGCACCTCGGACCAGATGGAGTCGATGAGATGTCGAGGTTTGCCTTGGCTTGGTTTGTGTTACCTTACCCGAAGAAGCTTGGGACATGGAAAAGGCCCGTTGTGTGTTTGGAACGCTTTCAATGGATCCTGGCCTCTCCCATGAGAGTCCAATGATGCTTTGATCCGACCTCAACCGTGGCTGACACTGGTTCGGGCAGTCGGCATGGTCGGGGCGTTTCGGATGATTGGGATGGCTGGGAGGTTGGGGTGTCCAGGAGGGCTGGCGTGAACTAATTTTGTGAGGTGCGAACTGTTGACTTTTCGCACCTCACAAGATTATTGGGGTGCGAAATGTTGACTTTTCGCATCACAAGAATATTGGGAATCAGGCTTGGTTTGGGTGCGTGGTCGGGGCGGTTGGGGTGATTGGGCCATTGGGATGGCTGGGAGGTTGGGGTGTCCGGGAGGGCTGGCGTGAACTAATTTTGTGAGGTGCGAACTGTTGACTTTTCGCACCTCACAAGATTATTGGGGAATCAGGCTTGGTTCGGGTGTTCGGCATGGTCGGGGCGGTTGGGGTGATTGGGATTTCTGGGAGGTTGGGGTGTCCGGGGTCTAATTCAGTGAGGTGCGAAATATTGACTTTTCGCACCTCACAAGATTATTGGGTGGTCGGCAAGGTCGGGGCGGTTGGGGTGATTGGGATGTCTGGGAGGTTGGGGTGTCCGGGGTCTAGTTTAGTGAGGTGCGAAATGTTGACTTTTCGCATCACAAGAATATTGGGGAATCAGGCTTGGTTTGGGTGGTCGGCATGGTCGGGGCGGTTGGGGTGATTGGGCCATTGGGATTGCTGGGAGGTTGGGGTGTCCGGGAGGGCTGGCGTGGAACTAATTTTGTGAGGTGCGAACTGTTGACTTTTCGCACCTCACAAGATTATTGGGGAATCAGGCTTGGTTCGGGATGGTTCGGGTGGTCGGCATGGTCGGGGCGGTTGGGGTGATTGGGCCATTGGGATTTCTGGCAGGTTGGGGTGTCCGGGGTCTAGTTCAGTGAGGTGCGAAATGTTGACTTTTCGCATCACAAGATTATTGGGGAATCAGGCTTGGTTCGGGTGGTCGGCATGGTCGGGGCGGTTGGGGTGATTGGGATTTCTGGGAGGTTGGGGTGGGCGGGGTCTAATTTTGTGAGGTGCGAAATGTTGACTTTTCGCATCACAAGATTATTGGGGAATCAGGCTTGGTTCGGGTGGTCGGCATGGTCGGGGCGGTTGGGGTGATTGGGATTTCTGGGAGGTTGGGGTGTGCGGGGTCTAATTTTGTGAGGTGCGAAATGTTGACTTTTCGCATCACAAGATTATTGGGGAATCAGGCTTGGTTCGGGTGGTCGGCATGGTCGGGGCGGTTGGGGTGATTGGGATTTCTGGGAGGTTGGGGTGTGCGGGGTCTAATTTTGTGAGGTGCGAAATGTTGACTTTTCGCATCACAAGATTATTGGGGAATCAGGCTTGGGTCGGGCGGTCGGCATGGTCGGGGCAGTTGGGGTGATTGGGATTTCTGGGAGGTTGGGGTGTGCGGGGTCTAATTTTGTGAGGTGCGAAATGTTGACTTTTCGCATCACAAGATTATTGGGGAATCAGGCTTGGGTCGGGCGGTCGGCATGGTCGGGGCAGTTGGGGTGATTGGGATTTCTGGGAGGTTGGGGTGTGCGGGGTCGGTGCGAAATGTTGACTTTTCGCATCGGAATCAGGCTTGGGTCGGGGCGGTCGGCATGGTCGGGGCAGTTGGGGTGATTGGGATTTCTGGGAGGTTGGGGTGTGCGGGGTCTAATTTTGTGAGGTGCGAAATGTTGACTTTTCGCATCACAAGATTATTGGGGAATCAGGCTTGGGTCGGGCGGTCGGCATGGTCGGGGCAGTTGGGGTGATCGGGATGGCTGGGAGTGTTGGGGTGTCCGGCAGGGCTGGCGTGGTCTATTTTTGCGGTTGGGATGGTCGAGATGGGAGGCTGGGTGCGAGGTGCGACTTAGGCAGGGAGGAGTCGAAGCCCCAAAGCCAGACCAGGGCCAGCCAGAGCCAGGCCAGCCCAGGACCAGCTCTTGCCTGGGACTTGCCCAGAGCCGCCAGCCGCCAGCCGCCAGAGCCTGGCCTCTGAAAATGGCCTGCGCTCATTTCTTTTCGTGCAACATTCAAGTAGGATTGCACCTGCCAAGAGCCGAACCTGGGGCACAAGCATGGACAACTTGTATGTTGAAACTGATTTGTTTCTTTTGTCCCACAGAACCGGGGCCCGTTTTTCTTTTTTTATTCCTATATATATATATATGTTTGTATTATTTTTTTGCGCGAAGGGAAGGGACCGAGCCCTCGCCGAGGACTTGGCGCAGGTGGTGAACGTGGACGGCACCCAGAAGGCCTCGGCCAACACCCCGAGGCGAAGCGGCGAAGCGAGGAGGTAATTTCTCACTTGGATGTGGGTCAAAATTGAACCACCAGGAATCGGACCGCAGGTTTATGTTTCCTTTTACCAGGGTTCCATTTTGGGTACCTATTTTTGACCCACAGCCACTTGAGCCACGTGCTCAGAACCGATTCGGGTAGATGGTCAGGTTAGTAAGGGACATAAATAGCTGCGGATATCCGCCTTCTTGATTCTCTACGTTCTGGGTAGACCATTTTAATACCAGGTTTTGATTGTGACTCACTTCCCGGTTGAAGCCATCCCAAAAAAGGTCACTTTCAAGATTGCCGCAGAACAACTCATTCCTTGAGTGCATGTTGACTTTAGTCACTTTTTGGGTTTGGTTGAGATGCGAACAAGATGTTTGATTGTCTTTTTTGCACATACACACATGTGAGTAATGAGTAATGGGAACCCCGGTTAAGTTTTCAACCCTTGGTTGATTCATGAGGGATTCAACTCCCTTGAAAGGGGGTTTATCACTTGAGTGGACACCTTGTTATGAACGGTATACCAATTCGGGGTCAACAGGAAAGACACGGGGGAAAGGGCAAAGGGGGTGTCGACCCACGGGTTGGGACTGCTTGTTTTCAATGGGAGGAAGAAGAGTTGGTGCCCTTGAGTTAGGTCAGTTTCGTCGTTGGAAGAAACGTCAACCTGAGCCATGAAGGTCAAGTGATCGGAGGGCAGGATTTTTGCCAGTTTTTGATATTGACTCCAGCGGGGTTTGTCTCCGAATAGGAAATGGGCCTCAACGGTTGGTTTCCTTGGCGCTCCCAGTCTACCCTGGCAGGTCAGTTAACATGCTCCAGAACGGGCATTGCCTGAATGGTCAATTACTGGGGTTGACTCATCCTGCATTTTTTAGGCTGTTCTACGAACACATGCCCCTGCGGTTCAGGTCTGCCTTTCGTCTAACAAATCACAGTTCCTCGCATGCCCTCCTCTTGCAAGAATGTGGCATGACCTTTGATTGCGCCCCCTTCACCAAGATGCGGGAAGCTACCTGCTCTCTTTTCCTTTTGTTTTGTTGGGGGGGGGGGGCATGCTAGCCCGCAGAGGTGTTGCATGATGAATTTGCACATCACTTCTATGGATGGACAACATCCTGCTTCAGTGGTTGGTACTCATAGGTGGCGTGGCCCATCCAACTTGGGCCACACCTTCCGCTTTTTGCCGTATTGTTTCCCCCCTAAATCTTTCGGTTTTACCTTTCAGCCAGCGAAAGGGCTCCGTTTGTTCCGTTTGAGTAATCCTTCCTGCGGTGAGGGTTCAGAACCCACGCCAACAGCATCCGAGCGCACAGCTCAAAGCGACCTTCTCCAGCGTCATTTCAAGTTTGCGCCTTGTTCCAGCTCCAGGGTTTCCATTTGCGGGTCGAAATGGCCTTTGACATTTTCAGGGGTCTTCGCAGAATCGGGTGGGAGCCCCACGGCAGGTCTTTGGCATCACGGCTCCAAGTGGGGTTCACCCAAATGGCGGGCTTCGGCCAGCAGTAGCCCAAAAGTCGCTGCGCGAATCAAGACACCTTCCTCAGGGGTAAACTTTCTGTAGAAAGAGCCTATTCTCCCGGATTCTCCCGGCGAAGCCTCATTTTTCAACAGCCAACTCTAGAGTCCCCCTCCGTCAGGGAAAATCCGGGGTGGATCCCAAGGTCTCAGGAGCAGAAAGGTCCAAATCGGGTAACTTCCCTTGTCAATGGGCGAGCATTCTGTTCGCTTCCTTGGCAGGACTTCAACTGTTCCATCTTCTACATCCCAAAAAGGAATGACTTGAACTGGTGTGTCCATATTTTTGAGACTTCAACCTATCTGAGCTCATGTCATCCCAACAAAAAAAACGTTTTCTGTGGACCCCGTACCCCGCTCCCGGGGGCGATGTCGGTGGCGGTCACTTGGAGGCAGCCGGATCCAGAGTCCTACGACGAGAAGGGCGCCAGCCCAGGCAGGGCCTGGGTGGGCTTCTCCAGCTCCACCAGCTACTTCCAGTACCAGCGCCTCGCTCAGACGCTGCGATTTTTCGAGTGGTTCCCCCCCAATGTTTTGGTTTTCTCCTTGTTTGTTTCGTTTGGTGTTTCTTTGTTGTTTGTTTTCCGCATGGGACCTTTCTTTTGGCAACTCCGTCCGAGAAAAGTGCCAGGGGCCTGCTATGCTTTGAAGGGACGAGGAAATGAACAGGGGGTGGCTTGTTTACCAGCAAAGGGGCGAAGGAGCCAAGGAGCAAACCGGAGGTTCCATGCAACAGCCAGTTTTTGTCCTTGTCAGACTTGAACACGGGGTGGTTGCACTCTCACGGCATTTGTTGTTCGTTTTTTGTGGGGGCTTTCGAGGGCTTGCCGTTTAGAAGCCGTTTCACAGACCTCCAGTGAGGGTGCCTGGTGGAGATATGAAAGCTGGGTGAAGGTTAGTGGTAGGTCCGCGTTACCCAGTCCTCCAGTGGATGACGTTTCTTTTTTCAACTTTGAGCAAACTATCAACAAAATAACAAAATAAGTGCCCTTGTTCCATGGCCGCGAAAAGAGGGCTGGGGTTGGAAGCTGTAGTCATGAAAGATTTGTCAAAGCAACGCCAATTGACTAGTGACCCCCTGATTAAGGCTTGATTAAGGGAGGTTGGAACTGTGACTGTGTGTGTGTGTTTTTTGTTTTTTTAATAACACGTGCATGTTCTGTTCATTGGGGCCAACTTTCGTGGGTGTGTCCTAGATCAGGGGGCCCCTGTTTTAAGTTGTGTTTGTTCTTTTTGTTGGCAAGGCACGCGCATGTGGGAACATGACCACATGCTAGCACATTTTGAGCCATTTCCAACTTACGACAACCGAACAAAACGAGGCGCTGTAAGGGAGAGTGCATTTCTTGGGCAAATCGTAAACTGTTTTGATATCATTGATACGTATACATGTTCAGGACAATTCGACATATACGGAGCCACGTTGCTATGTTTTCTCCGTCAAACAGATTGTTGTTTTCAGGATTCGACTCGTGTTGACACGATTCCAGGTCAGGTTATGGCGACTCTGAAAGCAAGCACACGACTTCTGAATCATTTAGGCGGCGCCTTGCATCATCCTTTCTGGGCAGTCACCTTGGGGGTGGGTCGACGTGAATACAAACTCAGATGACGTCCATCTTGGACACGTGTTCAGCCCAGGTCAGTGGATATCCTCTCCTGGACCTTCCAGGACAGCCTTAAATGATGCGCAGGGCAGCAAGTTATTCCTGCATATTTCTACATATAGGGTCTCTGAAGCCTCCAACGGGGTACAAGGTGAATTGGAGGTCAAGACGGGTTTGGGGTTGGAAGAAATCTGATGTTTGCTCCACATGCACCATGGTCAAGCGGGTGTTCAAGAACTGTTACTTAGTTCTCGTAGAAAGGCTCATGGAACCTTGTATCTGGTTCTTGTATAAAGAGCCTTGTTCTATGGGTTCATGGCTCTGGTTCTTGGTTCAAGAACTCTGGCCATGGTTCTTGTAGCCTTGTTAGATAAAGGGATCCATGGCCATGAGTTTTGACCCATGGAGACAACTCCAAGTCCATTCCCATCCCTTCGCAAGGAGATGCCGGCGTGCCCCATCGATGGGGTGGAGGACTCCCGGCGCACGGTGCGCGGCGAAGGCCCTGAGGCGGGGCGGGTGAAAAGCTGCCCTTTCTTTGGGGGGTACCGAGCCTCGAAACGCCCCACAGCCAAATGCATCCTTTAAACACAACTCCGCCAAAAGAACCATTTAAGCACGTCCGCAAGGATTCCAGGCGATGTTTCAGTCATAGGCCGTTCACTCACGCTAGGTTCCGCCTGTTGGAAAACATCCATTACCCTGGGGAAATCGCAAGCCGCTAATTGCCAGTCAATCAGTGGGCAATTAAGAATGGGCGGGTGACAACATAGGGATCAATTATCAAAAAATGGTACCAAACGGGAGGGGGAATCAAACATTTCATACCAACAATGTCAACTCGGCCTCAATTAAAAAACAATGAAGAAAAGTTGTCTCCTCCGCCCCCCGGTGGAAAGCCACTGTTTTATGAGGTCCCCCGTCCCCGTGAGGAGGCCTTGAAGCCGCAAGGCGGGAAGCACACATGACAATGTGCAGTTGGTTCCGTCAACCATTTCTTAGTTTGCCCAAAAGGAAACTTTGCAAGGGTGATTTGCATGTTGTTTCCATGATTTCCAGACCCCACACCAAGTACAGAGTTGTTGGACATTGCACCCTGGCCACTTGTGGTGGGCGCCCACGATTTAGAGGGTGCGCCATTGTGCTACGGGTTCCCGTTGCAAACGATGGTCATCTCAGAGAGTTGTGGCTTCGGGGTGAATGCTGTTTATTCGCATCAGCAAAATGGCCCGGGCTTATCGATCGATCGATCGACTGGATGTTCAAAAAGCGGCGAACCACAACCTGGTTGATGAGGACCTTTCCCAGCAATCCGACGGACTTGTTACTGTATCACCGGGTCGACTGCATGTCAACTTTGCATAAATTCGAACGCTCGTGCGCAAGTTGCAGCGGCTGGCCTGAAATGAAATATGATCTATCAAGTCCGAAAGGGGCATTATAATTAGCTGGCCACCGGAGTCAAGTAGTCCCTTGAGTGCTTTGCAGGGTAGATCTTCCTTCAGTGACTGACTACGACTCATGAGCCGCTTACTGTGAGGGGACGATTTACGAGGGTCACGAGCAACCTTTTCATGATAAACCGCCATGCCTTCCCTGTGAAATCCCAAGGTGCAATACAAGCGATCATACCTGGAACCTGTTCCAATCCCAAGGAGAGCACGACCTAGGGCCTTTGACTCCCTAAAGACCTTCTCTTACCATTGGAATTATTAGTCATGATTATTGACCAGTAGTTTTGTCAGTTACTTATATACATATACCCTTTCACGACTTATTGGATCCTGTAAGCATCTTACTTTATATGATATAATTTCAAGTGACTCCCTTGTGCTCTCCTCTCGATTTCTTGCTGGTTCTCAGCGGGGAATGAGTTAGAATGATGGCAAGAGAGACCATCCCTTACGGTTTCCTAGGGAATCCCCTTCAACGGTTCATTCCTCAAAGCCTACCCACCGCACCCAGCTTCCTTCCGAGGTGCGCTGCATCATCCGCACAGGCACGGAGGGAAGGTCCACCTGCACCTGGGATGGCCAGTCCTACTGCGGCCTCATCATCCAGCGCCTCGCATTCCACCAGAGCCAAGCTCAAGATCCGGGCCCACTGATTCCCGAGGAAACGGCCAGGTTAGCCGGCTCTGCTAGCAATTTTAGTCAGGGGTATAGCAAAGCCTATATAAACCATTACAATTATGGTCATGTTGGTAGAGCCGGAAGTGGATGGGTTTTGAGAGCTGCTATGGGTAGCTGGTGGCTGGTGGCTGGTAGCCTGTTGCCCACAACAGCAACTCAATCTTCCCAGGGTACCGTTTGGTCGGTTCCACATATTAGTGGGCGGGAGGGCAGCCATGACCCCCAAAGATCTCAAATGAAGTCTGACGCCCAGATGGCAAAGGGGAACACCTGGTTGAGGTTGCAAGGGAACGCAAGAACGCAACCAGTTTTGGATTGTGTCCAATGGGAAACCCTCAGACTCGTTGGACACAGAAGATTCGTGTTTCGGACTCTTGCAAGCACGAGTCAGGGCTTCGCATTGTGAGGATCTCTGAGCCCTGCCGTGCGAAAAGACATCTTGGGATCTAAGGAATGCTGGGCGCTCCGCTATCAAGATCTCTGCACACACCAGCCAGGGCCTTGTTTGTTGAGCCAGTGAACTTATATAGCTGGTTTGCCTGAACAATTTAGAGGTTCTCAGCATGACCTTTCGCCACCATTTAAAGGGTAGTTTTGAAGATATCACTTTAGTGGACCCTGAGGAAGTCTAGTACATGGCACAATGAATCGGTGCAGCTTCCGCTCTTTTGGATTCTTTCCCAGGAGTTTGAAGTGGACTGCTTTAGTGCCAAGATCTGAATGTTGTTATCGTTGGACTTATTGGACAGAGCGAGCTGCCATTCTTAGACTGTAGCTGATCATCGACGTAGTGTGGCGCACGAAGAGTTGCGTTCTTCCGAAAGGGTCGTGCCAGAAATCGAGTTGCATTTACGTGTTTGTGTTCGGAAGGGGCAGTGATTGCGTGCCTCCTATTCAAATTGACGACCAGGTTGACTGCAGAGGTGCTTGCAACCTATCATGTCATTTGTTTACATGGATTGCCGGAGCTTCACTCTGGCAGTTGAGTGGCAAAAGCTTGCCGCAACCACGCCGCACAAACATAATTTGTGCTGGAGACGTCTTTGGCATCCTCATGACACCTACCTCCTGCATTTGCAAGCACTTGTTGTTAAGCATGATGTTGTTGTCTCTTCGGCGGATTTGTCTCTTGTTTGGGCTAAAGCAGATAGTGACTTATGCTGGCCAGATTTTTACTTGTAAATGTGGTCATCATTCACAAAACACAGTTTGACCCATGACAAGCAAGCTTTGTTTGGCAAGGGTCAACTCCCAATTCAAGCAGCACAATCACATAGCATCTGACAATTTATAATTCGCCGAGGGGCAGCTGTTGTACATCATCAGGCCCTATATCTCGCTGGTTCCTTTGTGCTAGACTGATGCACGGCTGTTTCAGGATCAGGCTTGCAACCCTGTGCAGCAAAATGACATGCAGGACACCTGAACTGGGTGTGTGTGTGTGGGTTTTTCTTAGCCATGAAGCATGGCTGGTGGACACTGAATATGTTCACCCAAGAGCCCCCTGTCAAACAACGTGCCCAACTGAGTGTAAACAACAGGCGGGCTGGTAGACATTGGACCACGAGTGCTTTTGCAGTATCACTTAACCTCTTTTGAATCCGCTTCCCACTTAGATCTTGAGCTCAGGTCATCACTTGCCTCACGTGCCTCGGATGCATCAGTTTGTGAGCACACGTGCTTCGGGTGTCCGGGGGGTCCCCACTGTGGATGGACGAAATCCATTTCGCACCACTTAAGAATCCCTGCAATGATGACTTCCTTGTAGAAGTCAACAAGCAATGGTTTCCCATGGTTTCCCAGGGTTTCCACGTGGTGCAGGATTTCGTCCACCCACAGTATGACGTCCTGTTATTATAGTCCTATTTGGACGTGTCTTCTCGGAGTTGGAACGCTAGGGGTGCTTTATACGTAAACCAAAGCGACATCGCTCACTCTGGGGGCTCTGCATTTGGAGACATCCCACATGGGTTTGTTGTGTGATGATGGTACTCCCACTCAAAGAGTGCGGCTTTGATGGGAAGCCCAGGAAACACTGTCCCCTGTTTGCAGACAACCCCGCACAACGAGCTGGACCGTACTTGTTGCAAGGGTTTGCCTCGAATTGGCCACATGCCAGAGGAACTCTGCAGGGTCACTGTAACGAGTTCAATAGCTGCTTCAGATTGCCAATCCACTGACCAGTAAATCCTCGAGCACAGTGCTCCCAAAATGGCGCTGTGTAGCCACAGGAGTGGACGTCGGTTCCCAAATCAGAAGACTCCTGCTTTTCAACAGGGTTTGAATTCAGTGAGCTCTGGGCAAACGAGCTTACATGAGCTCTCCCATGGAAGGTCCTGAAGGTCCTTGGGGGTTCCCCTTCCAGCTTGGGAGAATAGTAATTTGCCGGGAGCTGAACAGCCATAGGTATTTTCTAAAGGTTGAAGTCCTTGGTAGTTTGTGTGCGGATGATGCTCTTCTACCTCAAACTTTTTGTGCCGGAGACCAGGCGGTTCATCGTTTGTATACGTCCGGATGAACTTCCAGCCTTTTTGCTGTCGCAATTACGGGTTGCTTGCGGGCTACTTACGGTACGTAAAAAACCATCATATCAAATATATGTGGTTTTGGGAGACTCCAAACACGACAAATACTGAATACTTTTATTTTGTGCGGGCGGGGAGGGAGGGCGTCCCAAACTGGGGAACCCGATTGAAAAGGCGAACCAAAAGGAATCACGCCATGTTTAAGGAGTGCTGGGAGCCTCTTTTTGCACCCCTTTTGAAGGAGCACTGAAGCGAATCACACCTTTGTTGTGTACAGGCCCACCATTTCGGGAAAGAAAGCCCCGAACTCAGGAATATGAAGGCTGTGACTACGGCGTCCTGGCGTCTTGGTCTTACATCGAGATTGGTCGCTTCCCTACTGTCAGGGTGTGGTGATTTGTTGTTTGAGACTACTAGTCATATTGATGTATGGGCAGACTTTGCCGTCAAATGTATTGCCCGGACTCAAATGGATCAACCTTTCTCAACCTGCTGTCCAGTCGCGGGTGGTGAACTTTCCCGGATTCCAGCTACGCACTATTCAGACTTTGAATCGAATTCTCACACTTGAGTTCGCAGGCAGGGACAATGTATCAAACATACGCCTGTTGTGCCAACTAAGTACTTTTGTCACTTGGGTCGGTTGGGTCACTTGGATCACTTGGCTTACTTGCGTTAATGCCCCCCATGACCCAAAGTGGGACACATAACCCAAGTGCTGCCAGTGACTCAAGTGGTACAGAAAAACTTATCCCAATTCCAAGTGATTTACACGAGGCAAGCAGAAACCAATTTGCGGCGGCGAGTCCCGGCAATCCTCTTTTGTTCTAACCCTTCCAGATGACTTTGGCAGTTGTGCACATACTCGATTGACCGCTTCTGAAAATGCAGTTTTACACAGCCTAGCTGCAAGCCATGCATGTAGGCACCTTGCTTGTATATTCCTTTCGTGTGACAAGTGGTCCACAGCGAGGCCTACTAAGAATCATCCTTCCTGTTTGGTTTGGCAGACGGCTTTGGCAGGTTGCCATTCTCCGTTGGCTTTCTCCCCTGTTGCTGATCCAAAATTGACATTCGCGTTGTTGTGTTGGGTATCATAATTTCATTTGGTCTCGAATAGGGGACCCCAAAATTGGTTGGCTTTCTTGGGTTTCCCAGTAGTTCCAACCAAAAGTTGCAAGAGTTGACACTTCTAAGAGACGCACCCAATGCCAAATAGCTGGTTCCAACATAGCTCGTCTATCACGACAGCCCAGTTTCCTGCGGCGGTTCCCAGCTTTCTAAGGCACAATGAGGGCGTTCCAGCAGGTTTTACGGGGATGCCACAGGTTACTCCCTTATTTCAAAGGAAAACGAATAAACATCCACTTTCGAGACACCCCCCCCCCCCGCCCTGGCGGTTGGAAATGTCCCATTTCTCCCGTCCCCAAATACACCCCCACCCCTCCCCAATAAAGATAGTAGCCTGGCAGGCCTGGAGGTAGAACCAAATCTATTTATATAGATTCACGGTACGGTCCCCAAAAATCGATCAACACGGCAATTCCCAAATCAGGAGTCAATGTAAGCATCATAATATCATTATTTTTCATTTATGCTGGTTTCGAATTTGTTATAATTTGGTATAATTTGGTTTAGTATTGGCTTGGTACGCTTTTAGTATGGTTTAGTATTGCTTCTAAAGTGTCCCCAGATGATACCTATCATCAGGGTGCATTTTTAATGGGGACAAGGGATTGCCGGGGATTTCTGTGATTTCCCTCCGCACCAGGACTCTCGTTCGTTCCCTTGGGTTTTAGTTTAGTTTTTCCCTTCCCCACAATTTCCCTTGCGCCTTCTCTCACCTACATGTGTTCCTGCCACCACTTCCTAGAACCCTCTACACCAACAAAACTGCTCCTACACCTCACCCACCTGGATTCCCAGTCCCACTTGGTCGACCCCAGCGATTGCAGAGGACTGGGACGCGCTGCACCCCTGGTTCCTGGGTTGCCGGCGCACCGTGCGCTTCACCCACGAACTCCAAGAGCTTTGGATCACCTCTTTGGCGCCTCGAATGAATTTGCATCGTATGGGCGCGATGGGGGTGAGTCGGCTTAGAATCCAGGAAGCACCTGCTGGAAATGAATGAAAGGTGTTCTTCGTGTTTGTTTGTGTGTTTGTTTTGTTTGTTTCTTTTGCAGACTGGTGATTTCTAAAAGAGAAGGTCCAAGAAAGATGGAATATGTGTTTGTTTTGGCGTTGCCTAAGAAAGTACGACAAAGGTTGAATTCTAAATGCAATGTCCAACAAAGGTGGAGCGCCACTGCCTTCCGTTAGATGCCGTCCCTTTGGCCTTGTTCTAATCTCTGTGATGCACTTACAAGAAGGCACCCATATCCTCCCCATTTTTGTGCGTGCGTGTGTGTGTGTGTGGATTGTTCTGTAAGAAGACAGGACGTGAATTGTCAGTGGCACGTAGATCATTTTAAAGCATCATATTCGATGGTGGTGGCCTGAATTCCACCCGGCAACATTTACCCAGTTCACTAGTTCTCTCCCTGAAACGAGCGCGAACGTTTCCCCAGCCTGCGAAGGCACGAGTCCTAAGAACCTGGGGGACCTTTCGGGGTGGGACGCCTGGCTGGTTCAGGACGGGGTGCGGGCGATCACCATCAGCGACGACCAGATCCTCCAGAAGGCCCCAGTGCTCTTCAAGCGACAGAGCCTCTTCCAGTGCCGCGGCGACGGAAGACGTTTCGGATCGGAGCCAGCGACCGAACGGCCAGGAGAATTGAAGTGCAAGGTGCAACCGGCACGGTGAATCGTGAATCTTTGACGTACTGGGACTTAAAAAAAGAGAGCAGCTTGGGAATGAGGAAGGGGTTACAATTGCTTAGTGTTGCCAGGCGTGCCCCGGAATGCAAGAGCGAGCTGGAACATCGTTGTGACCGAGGTTCAGGATATGTATCACAGAAACATCCAAACATATCTCAGGCATGGTGTGCATTTTTTTGTTGTGGGTTCATTACCACGTTTGTTCTGGAGACAGTCTTGACAGTGCTGAAAGTGGTAGATGCCATCTCAAACCCTCTTTGGGTAGAGAATCGGAATCTCATTTGTTGTTGACAGATTGCGAGACTCGGGGACCCCTTTCTCCCAGATGCAAAACATGGTTACACGCCAACGCCCTCATGGACTTGGAGGTATTGCGTCATGGAGCACAAGTATGACCCCTTCGCCTTCTACTTTGCAGAGTGTGCCTTTGGCTTCGAGTTTGTTTTGCCATGTTTTTTTGTGTTTTTAGTTTTTTCATGTTTTTTTTCACAGCGAGGGGGGAGCCACCACAGCTCAAGGATGCTTGAACATAGACCACGTCCAAATTTATTATCCGATCACCCCAGGAACATTAAGCCGCTCCCCTGTTTCAGACTGCGTTGTTTAGTAGTGGGCTCACATTGGAAAGCGGGACCCCTTCGATTTGCCAATGCAACTTTGAGTAAGACGTTTTAACGATAATTTAAGGTACCCTTACAACCAAGAAGACAAAAACAAAATTGCAAAGCAGCCCTTGGTTTGAATGTGAAACAAGCTCAGACTTGAACGTTTGAGTACGACGAAGAGAACCTAATGGGGACAGTAGTTTTTAGGGTCTCCCATTAGGTTCCCTTCATAAGCTCTTATGGCTCTAAAAGTTTAATCGCTCGTTTGAAAGAGAAGCGCTCAGAATACAACCGTTGACTTAGACCTGATGCAGACAACCTAATGGAGACCCGAAGAATATAAGTCGTTCACACATAGCCCTATTGATTACCCCCTAGTAAGCGCATTTGGGGAGCATGGCTAAGTTCTGCTGGTTTCTGGAGAGCTTAGTATTGGTTTAGTCTTGGGTAATTTAAATATATTTAAATCAGTTTTGGCAATGTTTGGGATCGGCTGAAAGGGGGTTTTGTTATTGGGATTCCGTTCATAAATATAGGAATAATTTAGTATTGTCCTGGCAATCCGTGATCCCTCTACCAGATGGTAGTAGTTTGCTTCGTAGTGGTGTCCCACCTCGGATTGGGGATTCTCCCCAAATTGAACAAGAACAACGGTGGATAATTCAGGAGGACAGGGCTATTGAAATAGAACTCATTCTGCCACAAATGTGGGAGCCAGACTGTTGTCATGATGGTTAATATCCGCCCCAGGGGACGAGAAAACAGCCATGTCAGTTTTCCGTAGTTTTCTTGTCCCAGGAAAGAACATGTGCCATGGAATCTGGATAAACTGTAGTGACATCACTCATGTGGGATCAGGAATTGTTTGTTTGGTCAACCAGTTTGATCTACCCCAAGAAAGAGTTACAGGTGCGATCCCCATCGGTCTTGGGGATTTTGTCAGATTTTAGTTGGTGACCCAGAGCGGAACAAGCAACCGAATAGGCATGATCTGACAGGGCCCAGCTCACATCATGACTTTGGGCAGGATAGGTACCAACACTTGTGCCTTTCATTGTTCTCAAGGGCCCGCTGGGTGCGCTGCGGTGGATGTCCCAAGCATTCCGAGTGAACCCGCGGCCAAACGAAGCGCAATGGTACCTTGGCAGAAGACGAATTGACAGGGTTTCCCGTGTTCCCCTAAATACTTGCAATTTTTAGGGCATCCACAAGAGTCGACCACGGTCAACAAGCAACCTTTTTGGCTTGCCGCACCAGCCAGGTAACTGCGAGTACTGCATGCGGCTTCTGAGCATTTCCAACCTCTACAACATCCTCTACCAGCACAAATGTGCCCTGGTCAAAGCACCCTCTTGCTTGGGGGGTTGTAATGAACACCCCCTATAAATATACCCCTGTTTATAAATACGGGGGTGTCCCTGGTTTTAGTGGGGATTGTTCACTTTTGGAGGGGAACACCCCCCTATTGATAAACTGGGGTTGATTAATAGGGGGTCAACATTAGGAACGATCATAACGCCTTTGGGAAAATACCGCAAGCGTAGGAGTTTCTATGGAGGCAACCATCATTATGCCCAGCAACTGGCAGAGTTGTTTTTTTCTTTTTCATGCAAATGCCTTCTGCTGGCTATAGGGGAGGGGACATATTATTTGTGTTGCTTTGTGTATTGACTGCCTTGTTGTTCATGTCGAAACTTGTCTATGTTGACCCCCTTGTATTTCTTGATTTGGCTTGTCAACTACTTGTTTCATTGTATATATTCGAGTACTCAATGCCTGACCTGTCTGATTTGTGTTGCTGCATGATTCCATCAGCTTCTTTTGTTCATAAAATCTTTCCCGTAAGCCCGAGCGGTTGCGGCTTGTTCTCATGGTGGCATTCCCGCGTTGTCGTCATCAGCCTACAGAGCACCACTGCCAAGCTGATGAAGAAAGTGCCAACGGTAGGCCAGGTCTCACAGTTTTCATTAGGGTCAAGATGAGCCGAAGTTGCCGAAGGAAGCCTCAAGGCTTGCGCTCGTAAGCCCCTTTTAAGGTGCCCCCTCCATTCTCTCGCGATATATTGGTTTCAAGGATTGATGGAAGCTCGCCATCAACCCCTTAGTACATATTTTTGCGAAGGGTAGACGTAAACTCAAGTCCAAGCAAGAGTCAATTGCAACGGTGGGCATGAGAATTGTATGCCAGGTTTCGTACTCCCATCCCATCCAGCCATGAGAATTGTTGGAACTTCTCGAGCCTTTCAGACTTTCCTTTTGGCGTCGCTCAGGTTCCGCCCGCTATGGCCTTTTCTGCCCCTGCTTCGAGGCCCGGTTGGCCGTACGTAGGATTTGGGGTGGGTTGGGGGGTGGGGTGAGGAACCTGCTACTCTCCCCCTATCCAATTTGCCATAGAGCTTCTCCAAGTGAACAAGCTGTTATTTGGTATTTCAAGGGACATGTTTCAACCATTATCAGGGTCCCCCCTATTTTGAGACACGTACATTGTTTGGAGGCTCCCAGCCATCCGGCTCCTTAGCTTTTTGCCTGTTGGCGTTCAGTGGTTGGATTTCCATTAAACCCACAACAAGTTAGTAACTTTTAGCGGGGGGGGATCAGAAAACGGACAGCTCAGATATGGCCATGGGTCAAACTCCCATACCCCCAGTGAACATCCCAATCCCCACTAAAATCCCGACTAAAATGGGTGGTGCACCTACCTCAAAATGGGATCCCAAAACGGTTTTGACCACCACAGCCGTATGGGTATGCCTCAAAATTAAAGAGCTGGGGCCAACCGCGGGTTTTAGTCTTTGGTTCCATTTACCTTTTGGTGCCATTTTGGTACCAAAACGGTTTTGAGCCGCAGCCATAAAAGCCATATGAATCATTTGGCCTCCAAAGGCCTCGCCCAGCTGGCCGACATTTGACCTCTAGGCCCCTGGCCGTGAGGGACTCAAAACCGGCCCGTCCTTCTAATGGATACTTCCATTTCCTGAAAGTATGTTTTAGTTTTCCCCTGTTGGTTTTAAAGGGAATCGGTTTCATTCCTGGAACTATGTTCTCATTTTTTCCCATTGGGTCAAGAAGAAAGCTTTCCTGGCTCTGGCCCTTTCTGAGTGCTTGGGGTTGATGTTTGCGGGAATCCAACAGCAGACCCGCCAACCTTGTTCGAGGCTCACTAGTTTTGCCACCTCATGTTTGGGGTTGGTTGGCGGGGAAACCAATGAATTCGGGCATCGCGGGGTGCCCTGAACTCGCGACAAATCCATGTATGCCCTGATCAAAAGTTAACGGACCGCTTTTCTTTGGGATGGAAGGGACGGTCACGGATCCCTAAATAGGAAGTTCCGATCCGCATTCTGAGGGTAGCTACGGGAACCATGTCTATGGCCATCAGGTGTTTCAATGCACAAAGGGGGGTGGTTCCGTGTTGTTGCTTTGTTTGCGTTTTGGGATGGCCAATGGGTTTCCAAAGGGATGCTTGAGCGTATGGCCAAGTAAGGAAAGTGGTTCGACCCGCAAATGATTGGGGTTTAACGACTGGGTAAACCGTCATTTGGGTTTCGCAGGTAGCGAACCACTTTTTCCACCGAACTTCATCGACTTGAGCTCATGTTGACTGTCACTTGGGTTTGGTTCCGTGGTAAACCCAAAATCTGTGCTGAAAAGCTATGGTTGTGCTATTGGTTTAATTAAATTAAATCTGTGGTTACGCATTTTAGGATTTTTTTCGGCCAAACCATGCACGCTTTTTTTGAGTCATGGGAACCCCGGTGAAGTGTTCAACTGGTGGATTCAGGGCTATTCTTAGCCTCCCATCCGGAGGCCTCGGAGGTGGCACACGACACCTCCCAGTGGACCACGCTGGATCCCTTGCGCCACATGAGGACTGAACTGGCCCTGTTGAAACGTGGGTTTTCAACCGGGTTTCAGCCGATTTCATACAGTTTCAATTTGCTTGAACTGGTTTCAACTGGTTTCATTGATTGTTTCAACGGGTTTTATTTGCCGTCAACCGATTTCCTTAAAGTGAACGTGCTTGAACAGGGTGGCGCAAGCCAAGCGTAGCTATGTATAAGTACATGAACTTACCAAGCTACTGACCCCTGTCAAGGGGACAGCACTCAATAAGCTGGATGGCGTGTGTCACGCCTATGGCATCTTATGTTTATGTAATTTTGAGCGGAAATTGAGGCGAAAGGGGTGTTCCGTTTTCATGAACAAGAAGTGTCCAGCTGAGCATCCGATGACTTCCCATAGCGGGGCGGGGGCGCGTCTTTTTGGACCCCTCCCCCTTTCTGGTGAGGCAAACCAAAGCGAAACCCACCTTTTCAGCTTCCACACCCTTTTGAGACAGGCCCATTTTGGCGGCTCAGCTTTTTGGTGTTTCACTTTCACCATAGGCATCCCTCTACGCGGCACCCTTCAAACACAGGCTGCCAAACTTACCTGACTTGTTCGCAGGACATGTGAGAATGCAACCTGTACCCAACGCATTTCTGGCTGTTCGTGCCACTCTCTTTTTCCCTCCAGCTGAAACTCTGGTGAGTTTTCCCAGCAAGTCCTCGGCTACTTGGTCCAACTTAGCCAGCAAGCTGAGCTCCTGACCGCGCGCCCATGCGGCTATGAAGTTTTGTGGAGCTCCTGACAAACTGGTCTGCGTCAAATTCAACCACTAGGGCACTGCAGGTTTTGGTGCTTGGTTCTGTTTACCAGGGCAACCCATTTTGGGTGTACCAACTATGTTTGACAACCACAGTGAAATGGCTGGTTGCGTACCCCCCCCATGTCTTTTCTACCAAAGAGCTGGGTCCGAGGCTTGCCAGCCTTGCAGCCCTTATCTTCCATTTGCTGCAAGGAATGTGGTGGCTGGATTGGTTCCCTTTTTGGTTTTAAAAGGACGTATGTTCGCCTGTTTTTTTCCAGTGGGCGAGAAATGAAATCCAAGTTATGGATACTCATGTCAACGGACACGTGTCATACATGCTCATAGTTGGTACGCTTGTCACCATGTGTTGACCCCAGATGAAAATAAACCCCAGTTTAATATTTTTTTGGGTGTCCCCGGGTTTTAGTGGGGAGTCAGACCACTTTTGGAGGGCCCCCACCCCCATATTAGGGGTAAAATTACTCTGGGATCAACATTATTCATGCCAACAAATCTGTGCCGCCTAACCTCCCCTGCAAAGGAGTCCACTAGGGTGCTCCTCCTTTGGGCCAATTACACCCGTTTACTATCGGTTGAGTTGTGATTTCGACAGTGTCCCCCAATACAACCTGGTTTAGGAAATCGTTTAGCATTGGCAAATCCTAACTTCGTATGGGGAGATTAGGAGTCTGTTAACAAAAAAAACATCATTATTAATATGGAGCAGTTATTCGGAGGATGTACCCAACTCTCTGGACAGCCACGCAGGATCCACATTTGCCGGGGCTGTTCCTTCACCTCCCACTGCGCCCTCATGCTGAAGGCACGCGGTGTGGAGCTCGTGGTTTTCTTCGTGAATGGGTGGGGGTCGTGAGACCCAGAAACCTGCATGTGTGGATTGACAATTTTCAGGCCGCAGAAGCGTGGCCAAATGTCCTAGTTGCACCCGGTTTGGAGGTCCCCCAATCCCGTTTCGAGTCTTCCGCGCGGAAAACATGAAGCTACAAAAGAAAATTCCAGCGGTCACCCCGCCCCCCATCAAGGCCATGGAAAGCAAGTTCGGTATTTTTACGGCATGGTCTCGTCAAAGAAAACCACAAGCTACGTAACTTGGCTGGGGTCAGGCATGGGCAGGCGTTAAACCACAGCCTCACCCTGGCATAAGATGTGCGATATCATCCAGTTTCACACATGTCCTTAAGGCGCAATCATTTGTTGCCCTTTGCGAAGAAGAATTCCATCCTTTGATGTTTTCTAGAAAGACAACCCTGGTGCTCCCAAATCTCATGTTGCCTTTAGGAGGTCCAACCTTCTTCCCCATGGTTGTGGACAACGCCCTACAAGAATTTCCCAGCCGACTTTGGTATGACAAGGTGACCACGTTCTATGATCTTCAGCCGCAAAAGGTCAACCCTTCCCCAGATCTTAGCGATGTTCTTCCCCCTGCTCCAAATTGGGTTGGAAATTGGGTGAAAGGGATCCATAACGTCGACCCCAAATTCATAAACCGGTTCTATTGCTAGGGGGCTGTTCTCCTCAAGTGAATCCCCACAAGAGGACCTCTCGGCCTCGGCACGAAACAGAGGTGGCAATCTGCGAGATCTCGGACACGGGATACCAGCTGGGGAATCCCTTGGCAGGGGCCTCCCAGGATTCCTGGGTTTTCGGGTTGTATTGTGCTTGGCATGTTTTGGTCAGAAGGCTTTGAGGTCGGCAGGCCCTAAGATCTGGCTTCGGAGCTTTCAGGGGCTCCGGAGGGGACTGAGGGGTGGGGCTGTTGGGGATGCCACCTGAACCTTGTGCCTTTTGTTGGTTCTGTCTATGTTGAGTGGCATTGAGTGGTGGCTGCAAAACTCCATTGACTTCATTGAGCCAAACCTCTCTTTCCTGGTTCGGGAGTGTCATGGATCCCTCAAGTCCAAAAAAATCAGAAGGTCTTGTGTTGCTTGAGAGCACCCTTGTTTACCTCGGTCTTAAGGGAAACCGACAGGAAAACCAAAGTCATGGGATCCCCTTGGCTATGGCAACCATGGCATCAAGTGGGGCCAAGGGCCGGTAGCATTGCTTTGACCCAACTGCGAGCTACTGAGGTCATTATTCTGACGGGTTGTTGCGGGAATCAAAGTTGTCAACTTGGGGTATTTCCCTTTGGCCTACCACTGAAAGGTGACTTTGGCAATGGCAAAAGGGGGTCGTTGACTCCCGCTGATAACACCGCCATGACACGAGAAAGGGTCAAAATGATCGTCGCAGAAGAGACTTTCATGTTTGCTTGTTTTCTGGCAAATTGCTTGGAAAAGGACATGTGACATAAAGGGGAAAAGAGGAAACAAAAACGATACCGGTGCACGATACCCTTGCAAAATGCAAAAACTTGGAATGTCATCTTTCTCGACAGCTGTTTTTAATCGGCAACCCTGGATTTGGGCCAGGGCTGTTGGGAATACTGTACTTATTTTTTTTGACACTAATTTGACCAATGCACTTTTTGCGGATAGCCGCCAGAGCCACGATTTTCGCTGCCACCTCCATGTCCTCCTATCAATTGTCCTTTCAAAAAGAAACTTGAGGCGACTTCAGTCAGGAGTCACGTTGGGTCATCAGAGACATGGAGGTCATGTCCCGGCCTACCACTTCGGAGGGGGCCACTGTCAATGATACAGGGACCAGTCACAGTTACACCAGCTCGCCTATTGGACCTCATGGTCGGGAAGACTTTGGCTGAGAACATATTTCCTCTGTGACTCATTCACAACCAGATGTTCAGTGGTACCCTATTTGCCTTTTGGCTTGGCGATTTCCCTCAAAAAATGGTCAATCCGAAAAAGGGCAATTTTGCAGATGTTCCGAGTGGGACCAGCTGGGTGAGAGCTTTCCGGAGAGAGTTTTCCCGAGGCCCCTACAATCCTCAGCAACGGCTTCATCAACACTTCTCTGGTGCCTTGGATGAACACTTCGCTTTGCGCCGCTTCGGGGGCAGACTGCCATTCCTCTTTGCCTGAGGGCAAGTCCTACTGGAACACACGGACATGATACAACATGTGCACTGGAGAGCAGAACCACGGACGAGATTTGCCTTATTTATGGCTCGCCCGGGCGAAAACGCTTGGGTGCTGGTGCAGGTGCAGGTGGTGCTCATTGGTTGCACTTGGAGCGGTTGTGGGTGCTGGTGCGGGTGACAAGTGCTAGTAGGGTGCTTATGTTTGGTTTCCAGGTGCTTGCACAAGGTGCTGTTTGGGGTGCTGGTGCAGGTGCGAAGACGTTCATTTGGCTATCCAAATATGCTGTTATTTGTTGATTCACATATTTATTGTATTTGTTCTTCTTACTAATCATTCATTCATTCATTCATTCATTCATTCATTCATTCATTCATTCATTCATTCATTCATTCATTCATTCATTCATTCATTCATTCATTCATTCATTCATTCATTCATTCATTCATTCATTAAGTCATTAAGTCATTAAGTCATTCATTCATTCATTCATTCATTCATTCATTCATTCATTGATTAAGTCATTCATTCATTCATTCATTCATTCATTCATTCATTCATTCATTCATTCTTTCATTCATTCATTCATTCATTCATTCATTCATTCATTCATTCATTCATTCATTCATTCATTCATTCATTCGGATATATGTTTTACAGTATCTCAATTACTAATTACGTATTGGATTGCACGGAGTTTTCATTCACATAGTTGATTGTGTTTGTTTGTTCATGTTTAATGATTTATTGAGGAGACGCGGCAACAGCCACATAGTATTTGCAAGTGCACTGGGGCAAAATTGCGGAACTGCCCAATGCATCCCAATGCCAACTTGTTAAGGCTGGGTGGGAAGCGCATTTCAGGCTTCCCAGCTCGAGTGCCACTTGAAGGCGCCGATTCACGTAGGAGACCGCAATATTCCCATGCTAAGACCTTGGCATCCAGGCGAGCAGCAATCAAAGCTGGGTTGAAGTTTGGTAGCGCACCATCAAAAGCTGCAGCCGCCCTTTTGCTTGTGGTATTTGTTGCTTTGGGTAGACCTTGGTCAAGCGGAGTTGTTTACAGGCCTTCCTTTCACCATGGAAGCAGGGCTTTTTCCAACGTCGCGTTGTGCGAAGCCTTCAAAGTCCGACAGGGCCTTACATTCGCTCCTTATTGGATGGTTCAAAATATCGCCTGTCACCGTTTGAAGTGACTCTGGGGCGATGGCGACTCTCCTTGTGATGTTAGGTTGGAACTGTGGGCATCCCTTCATCCACATCCTTATCAGGGCTGGATACAAGGAGAAGCCATGAGACTCAGGACGAGAACCGCGTGCCCACGGGCTACTTGCGGGGAGACGCGTGCAACTGTGAGCCTCAGGCGGCCGCAAGGGGTGGGACAGGGGCTTTGGGGACTCTGTGTACATCATTTACATTCTGCTGCCTATTTCTGTCCAGCTCCGCATGCAGAATGCTGGGGGGGGGGGGGGGGTATTCATGCCCAAGATTGCCCCAAAAGTCCCCCAGGATCCAGAATCCAAATGAGGTATTTAGGAATCCAAATGCAGCATGTAGAATTCCGGGCGGGCATTTATGAATTCAAGATTGCTGCCAAAAGCCCCCCAGCAATGTTGGTTCTTGGATTTGGGACCCAAATACCGCATGTAGATCTCTAAATACCGCATATAGAATTCAGAGGTGGTGGCATTCATAAATCCAGGATAACCTCCAACAGTTCCTAAAGAATATTGGATCTTGGATCCAGGATCTAAATGTGGTGTTTGGCATGTAGATACCGCCTTCAGAATTATGTTTTTGGTCAAAAGGCCCGAACACAAACATGCTATCATAGGGCAAAATGGTGGCAAACGGAGGGTGGGGGGGGCACCTTGCTCAACAACCAAATCCCCAATGATTGGTGGATTGCGGTTTGAAGAATTTATGCGGATTGTGGATTTGTATGGATTAACGACTTGAGCCTTATGGAGGACGGAGAATTGGTGCGCCCAGCTATGCTGTGAAGATTTTCCCTGGAGGCATCTCCCACATGGCCCGTCTCACTGGCAAAAGGCTGAGCAAAGGCACCAAGCAATGGGATTTTGGAGCACGGCTTGCAACGGAGTGCGGATTAGCCCAGAACCACTCTTAGCAAGGCTTGCGCACACTACGGATTGTGGTCAAGCCCCCTGGGATTTGAACAGGCTATTTTATGAAATTGTGTGTATATATATATATTTGTATATTGTTAAACTTGGAGCAACTGTATACCTATTTACCTGATTTGATGAACCTGCGTGTGAAGTGAAGCGCAGTTGTTTTCCTCTGGGCAATGCTATACTGTCTGCTGTAGCTGTACTACGGCAGGTCTGTACATAGGCTCAAGGCCTTGGGATGTATGGGCAGCGGATGTAGCCAACTGTACTGCTAGAGAAAGCATGTAGTGTTTAACACGCCTCCTCAGGATAATGCTGTATACATTCTCCTGAAATGTTAAAAATGGATGTTGCCACTGTACAAAAGATGTGTACCAAGCTGTGCAACTTCCTTGTGGGTCGTGGTGTCAAAAGCAGGTGTAAAACAGCTGCTGTTTCAAGCAAATGTTGTATCCAGCTGTCCGACTGCGCCACTCATGCGCACCGCCAAACATCGCAGTTGTGTGAGCATCAAATAGACTGGTGTTGTAGATCATGTGGCCTGCAGTCCAGTGTAATCACCATCCAAACTGTCTGCAGTAAAGGCGATGTACAAAGCACTGTCTGTATCTGTGGTCTTCTCGATGTGCCACTCCATGATGTTGTGCGCCTCCTTGCCGTTGACGCAATTGATGTTGTGAAATCCCACAGATGTTAGCGATGTAAACAAGTGCGTGCCGTATCGCCTTCCGGTGTGCTCATCTGATATAGCAAGCGCTGTCAAGGCCTGCATGTCCATTGGTCCGATGTATCAGGAAGAATGTACCTCACGATGTAAAAGGTGAAAAGGGTGCAAATCCATGTTTGACAGGTATCTTGCAGAAATACCATTGTAAGGGGGTTGTAGAACTCCCAGAAAAGATGTACCATGGCTCCGGATTTCCTAAGTGAAACTAAGTTGCAGCGCTTTCACTTTCGTTGTAGACAAGGAAAGGTGACCTGTGCAACTGTTGTTTACAGGCCAACTGTGTATCGTGATTGATTTAGCTGCGCTGCTGTCTGCGTATATCCTGATGTTGGTGCGTACTCCAAATGCTTCCTTGATGAAGTTTCTGATGTAGAGGCTCTCCTGTGCTGCTGTGCCAGTTCTGACTCTTCTGATGAAAGTGCCATTGTTGCTTGTGTTCTGCTTCCATAAGTGCATCGCTGCTCCGAAGAAGTGTAACAGAAATCCTGTTGTGCTCTTTCTTGTTTTCGCGCATGATGCCCAGCTGGCATATGTGTATGTGTCGATGTCGAGTGGGATTCGCTTGTCCCTTTGGTTGCAGGTTGTGTCGCAAGTACCTTGTGCCTTTGAGGTACCTCATCATGTGTTTGAGCTTCTTGTTGTCAAACTGTGTTGGTGCTTGTTGTGATCTTGCTAGTTCCGTTGCTCCATAGCTGATGTCTGGTCGTGTGTATGCTAGCCATTGTACCTTGCCAACAAGCTGCCTGTCTTGCTTGTGCTGCTGTTTGTGGCCGAGCGGCGCTTCATCTTCTGCTGCGCCTTTCATGTGTGACACTCCTGGTGATGGTGCTGGGTCACATGTAGTCATTCCTGATTCTTCCAGGATGATGCCAACGTAGTTGTTGTGCAAGCTTATATCGATGTAGTTGCCTTTGTGAAAAATGTTCCTGCCAAGGATGTGCCTACATTGAGGTCGCCTGTGTCTCACCAGTACTTCCTTTTGTATCCTGCTGAAGAGTGTGTCGATGCTCTTTACTCCTATGTACTCCTATGAATGGGAGGTCATGATGTAGACCTGGCAGTGCTTTGACCTGTAGACATTGCTTTCTGTTGTGGAACTCGTAAGTTCAAGTGTGACTGCGAGGATGTGTGCTACGTGGTCCTGCCGCCGCATTCTGTGTCTGTTTGCTTCATTGCAGAGCTCGTGTGGCTGTCTCATTCCCAAGTTGTATGAGATTGCTGCTGCATGTAGAAATACAGACTGACCAGTTGTACACAAGTGCCATTGTGAGGAGCACCCTCAGCATGCAAAACAGTGGTGTACTTGCAAAGAGGAGGTCATGGTCTGTAACGGGTAGCCCTTTGCTACTGTTCGCGCTCGTACTTCGTTGTGCTTTGGTTTAAGAACCCACCCATCTTGACTCAATGATGTTTGTTTGCGTTCTGGTTTCATTATGTTGCCATCAATCTCTGTAAAGACTGATTGGTCTTTCATTTGCTGTACTTAGTACTTCTTTCTCCATGCCTTGTGAAACGTGTTGTGGATCCAAGCCTTCTGTGTCATGTATGATCGGCATCCTTTCGTTGTCGATGTCTTCTGTGTCCTTGCTGGATGTTGTCTCCATGTGTTTGCCATCTCTGGTTGTAAACCTGGTGGCATTTATCCTCATTTTGCCTTTTGGTTGTTCTGTTGTTGTAGGCCGCTCCAGCGCTTGTCTTTTTGTTATGGTGCGCTGTTGCTTTCTGATGTGTTGGTGATGTAGCCATTGGTGACGTTGGCTCTGCTGTCTTCTTCTGCTTTGTGCGCTGATCACTCGATTGTGATGCGCTCTGTCTCTTGCCTTCTGCTGCTGTGCTTGTTGCTGCATCCTTCTGAGATGTGAGTGCTTTGCTTGCTGCTAGCATTGTAACTGGTGTCGTGAGAGTAGGTATAGGCAGCGCTGATGCTGGTGTCTTCCATGGACCTGTGTGTACACAGTCCAGTAGTTGCTGATTGTACTTGTGAGGCTTTATCTGCCTTCTGATTGTCCTTGCTCTGACAATCTTGTTGCACGTCCCAACGAGGGACTCGCCTGTAGTTGTATCCTTGCCAAGCCAGTCCCGTTGTAGAACCTCGGCTCGATTTTTGATTTTTCACTGTTGGTAGCATGTACTGCACTGTCTCACCAAACTCGCGAAGTGGTGTATGTTGCTCTCTGTTCTATTTGTTGAAGTAGCTTAACCGGTTCATGATGTATGCACTGTGTCGAGCTATCCAAGGCATGAGTGGATGTTCCAGTGGAATGTCTCTGTTGTAGTTCTGCTTGAATTGTGCCTTGAGTTTTCTGATTTGCGCAAACAGTGTTCTGTGTGCTCGCTTTACTCCTCCTTGTGATTGTGAACTGTATGCTCCTGAGTTTCTTGTGGTGATGTTGCCATTCTTGTTTGCCACTGCTGTGATCAGTGTTGTCAGGAAGTCTCCTGATCTGGTTCTAGCATGGTGTGTGATGTTCTTCCACATTCAATGAGGAAGTGCTGTAGTTGTGTGACTGCATGGTCGAAGTTGGTCAGTTGTATGGCCATGGTCATCCCTGGTTGTGTGTGGCTTGATGTGTGCTCTCTTCCAGGCCTTCTCTGTACCAGTAGTCTCCTCCATGATGTACTTCTGGCTGGGTTGCGCTCTGAGACTTTTTTTGCGAGTTTTGCTTCAGCCCCTTTGGCACTCAGAGCTGTTTGGCTGCGCCCCAGCCCCAGATACGCCGGGCCCCAGGAGGAACACAGAGGCCCACATGCACAACGCATCACGAATAGAGGAACCAATCAAACCCCAACTTTAGACAAGAATCTTTGACAAAACTAATCTGCGCTCTTGGTGCCATGTTGAGGGGAGGGGAGATGGGCCGTTGCAGTATTGTGTGTTCCCATGAAGCGACATCAGTTTGTAGTGACCTTTGTCTAATGCTCAGCGCTCCCGTTGCGAAAGCAGGCAAGGGCATAGGAATGTGAGTGTTGCACTCTTGTCGACGGACGCCCTTCCCCCCAGCAACGTAGAGCACTGAGAAGCGCGTTGAACAAATCGACGCGTTTTTTTTGCTCAAGAGGGCAGACACGCTTGAGCTCTGCGCTCTGGCGCAGTGTCTGCCGCTATGTCTGCCGAGCACCACCGTGGGCGGCACCTGTGGGCTGCGGGTACGAGCACGCCTGCCGGACAGTCTTGCGCCTGGCTTGCAACATAGACTCCCTTTTAGTTTTTTTTGTCAAGGTCCACAAGTTGTTTGTCGAGTTTGTTGCCCAAGGGCCCAGCTCACTGCGCGCCTTGCCAGAGCTGCAAGACTGGTGTCGGCTTGATGAGGGCTGGGCCACCGTGACATACAACGTCCCTTGGTGTGTTTCAGAAAAAAACGGCCTCGTCGGTCAGAGCGAGCAGCTGCGTGCCGTGATCGTCATGATTCAGAAAGCGGCGGCTTGGCGAAGGGACATTCGATTCTCGCTGGGCCAAGCTGGGCCGCTTTTTGGGGGGCTCAAGATGTCACACACACACAC